GAGGGACCTGGCCTGGGGCTTGGGCAAGTTCCTGCCATGCTGGGAATGGAGGGAGAAAACGTTGCTCCTGGCAGAGAGGTGCTGGACACGTCAGTGATGAGGGACTGCATGGGGCTGCAGGGCAGAAGTTGATTCATCTAAGAAGTCATAAGCCAGCTTTGCTTGCTCCCAGTCAGCACTGGTTTTGAACCAGCTGGTGGAAAGACCATACAGGAGCGCATGTCGCTCTTTGCTAAGCTTGTCCTTAGTCATCTGTGCTCCTGTAACACTACTGGTGAAATCCTTCCAGCTTCCCTGGGGCTGTTGCGGGATTTCCACACAGTCAGTTGAGTTGATACCACAATTAATGGGTGAAACTAAAGTTTGGGTCAAGGCTGGTGGTTGAGATATGGTACAAGTTGATGAAGGATTGGGCACTCAAAATGGTTTGATCTGGGAGTTTTTTCCCCTTCCTCAACTCCTTTTAGTTGTTTCTGGAGGAAATGCAGCCAAGGACTGTGTGAAATTTAATACGCCAGGTGTGCCTCAGTGAAAGTAAGGGCCTGACACCTAGCTATGTTATTAAAATGTCTTGCAGCTTCACATCTTCTTGCTAAGATGGCACTGCATGACTTCATTGACAGCAAGCCCATTCTCTTGGTGAGATAAGAGCGAGAGAGGACAAAAGAGAGGACAAGCAACACAGTACTCCTGTGTTGGCAGGGCAGCAGGCCAAGAAGCTCTCAGCTGTTGGTACTTCTGCTGTGACTTTGGCCAGACTCAGTTTCTGGAGCCAGCTCAGTGTGTCTCAGACTGCAGGTCATGGGATTTGCTGAAGGGCTTAGAGGCAGCGGCGCAGCCCCGGGCAGCAGCTACCGGCAGCTCAGTCCCTCCAGCAGCCGCCGGTCGCTGCCTGCGCTGCTGCCAGCCTGCTGGGAGCTCCTCGGTGCCCCGAATCACCGGCAGCAGCTCGGTTTCTCCGGGATGGAGAAGTGAAAAAAAGCTGTAATTACTGGCCACAAGCATTTGCAGTATTCTGTGCTCTGGAGGAACTGAGCTGCAGCCAAACAGGGGTGGAAGCCAAAGGGTTCGACACAACGCCTGGGCCAGAGCAGGGTTTCTTAAACATAAGCTTATAGGCACACACCAGAAGTTTCCTTCTTGGCAGATGTAAGCTCTGAAAAACGTGGCAAGGAGAGCAGGATGTTCGGTCAACCCTTTAATAACACACAGCTGTAATAAAGTCCCGGCTTCCTACAAGTCAAAATAAATTTTGCCACCAAGCTAACTGGAGCTAGTGCTTCAGATCACGTAGCTGGGAAATGTCAGGGTGGAGAGGATGTATGTGGTGAATTTTCTCCTCCCATTTGAATTTTGTTCTTTCTTCTCCCCTCTCCATTGCAATGCTGCACACCACGGCATCTTTTCATAGCAGCTGGCATTTTACAGCAACAAAAACAATCCTTGTAACATACTTTGTATTTAGCCACAAGTGGGAAATTTTCAAAGGCTGCCTTCACTCTGGTTATTGGACTTCAGAGAACAAGCCCAGGAGACAAATGGCCAGCTGAATGTCAGGGTCACCGGCACTCTTGCCACTTTTGGTAAGAAGGGAAGCTAAGGCTGAGGTCAGGCCCTTGTGTAAACCTCTGGTTGGTCACTGAAATTGTTGAAGCATCCAAAAAACACAGACAACTCTTTCCCTCCCCCACCTTTTTTTTTTTTTTCATTCCCTTGTTCGTTTTGGAGACCAGCATTATAGGAAAACTGCAGTAAGGTCTTTTCAGGGCAGCTACATGTTTTTTGACTTGTTGGCATCCCAGTAAAATCCTGACCTGGCAAGGGCATTCAGCCCTGTACCTTGGTCCTGTACAACATCCAAGTTTCGCAGCCATTAGGCAGCCGAGCTGGTAAATGCCATGATTTAGAGGTCGCTTAATGGAATCTTTTGCCCCAGAAGACATTCAGAGCAAAACTCACAGTGACGCTTACAGAAAAATGGTAAGCTTTAACAGTAACGTGTGGGGCTGAAGGTGAGTTGAGACACGGCTGCCAAGCTTTGGCCAAGCCTGGCTCAGGGGTAATGGGGGGTTGTCCACCCCAGCAGCTGCCCTAAGAGAAGGTACCTTTACTGTGCTGAACACGTGAACTTGTCCTGGCAAGAAAATCAGGCTGCTGGTGAGGAGCAGGATGAGCTGTGGCCTGTCCCTTGGCATCTTCACCTTGAACAGCGGGGAGGAGAACAGGAAGGAGTAATGTCCTTGGGAAGAGGATCTTAGGGGACAGAGGGTCTGTTGAAGGAGAGGGATGAGCTAATCGTGAGATTTCCTTCTCTGCTCCACTAGGATGGAATAAACTTGGTCTCAGATCAGTATCCTTTGGGTGCCGTTCAGTACCACTGGGGAACTGCTGGTTAGGGATGCAAACGAATCTTGTGATCATCTCCCACCTCACATTCACTGACTCTAGAAGGTGCTGTCAGAGCTTCCCAGATGGTGGGAGGTCAGATGAAGGTGTAGATCCTCGTTATGAACTACTTGGTTATATTACACGTTGAGGTGTAAAGCCCACTTGTGAAAAGCGGACAATAACAGAGATTTTCAATGGAAATGTAGAAAGTGTCCTGCTAAGAAGAATCAGAGAATTACCTGTTCTGTAAAGGCTTTCCCTGTATTAACTCAATATTAACTCACAAACATAGGACAGCCAGATTCCAGGTTTGTCCTCACAGTAACAAGAACATACTGATTCAAGTGGGTCATGGGCAAACTTAGACAGCAAAGCCTGGGGGCTTTTTTGTGAATAATGCCTACAAAGTCAGGTTTGTATCTCAGGGTACGTGACTTGCGAGCTCTTTGGGGGATGCTGGTGCTGAGCAATCACCAGGACTCTGCCTGCTGGGTGCTGCTCCAGCACCCACAGCCGTGGCCTCAAAGACAGCTCCGTGCTGTCTGAACCTCAGCAACTATGACTGAAGTCACCAATAAATAAATTGATCGCTATCCTTCGGCAGGCAGCCGCAGCGTGTTTTTGACTCTGCCTTTACAAATCTTCAGTCAGTCATGAGACCTGCGGACTCCACATGCCGAGACAGTGCCCAGACGATGTGGATTTGCCTTTATTAGAGAGGACCTTTAAAGGTTAAGACGGAGCTTAAACAAGACTGAAACAAACTATGTGTAGGCCAGATCCTAAATATAGTTGGAATACCACCCCTTAACTGGCTGCTGAATCTCTCCAACCCAAATTCTTCTTCAAATGCCTTTTTAGTTGTTGGTAGAAATTCAGCTGAAGTATAAACCGAATTGAGTTGTTTTTCAAAATACCCTTCTGGAAGAAGTGGATGTGGGCACGCAGAAGAAAAACTACCCTTGTAGCTGCACTTTGATTCTCTCACACTTTGAGAACTCGCTGCATAAGACAAAAGGCAGAAAGAGAGATTCCCCAGCGGCCTCTGCTAGCACCTTCCTTTCTGTGACATGCTTTTAAAACTCATATGCAACCGTCAGCTGACAGGAAAACTGTCGGAAAGTTTGTCATTGCCAGTTCTGGTCACCTGCACTAAGTACAGTGAGCCTGCTGATGGGAAGTGGTGAAAGAATTCATTATTTTGCTTTGCTTGCATGCACGGCTTTTGCTTTACCTATTAAACTGTCTTTATCTCAACCCATGAGTTTTTGCATTTTTACTCTTCCAATTCTCTCCCCCAGCCTGCTTGGGGGAAGCCAGTGAGTGGCTGCATGGTGTTTAGTTGCCAGCTGGGGTTAATCCACAACATACAGTTTTCAAATTGCTCCTGCAATATTGATCCAGATACTGCTTTGGATTACCTGAAGATATTGGGGTTGTGTGTGTGTGTGTGTGTGTGCGCGCGCGTGCAGCGTGCGCCTTAGGTGTAAGTCAGAGTGAAGTACAAATAGATTTTAGTCTTTAAAAAAAGTCCAAAATCTCATCCTGTCTCTGGCTGTCAGATAAAATGATAAAGCAAAGACACTTCCCTAAACAGTCTCACTTAAAAGCTTGAAAACCAGCTGCAGTATATTGATTTTTTTTTTTTAATCTGAAAAATTCAGTTTCTAAATTCTAGACCAGATCACTCTTGGCTGCCTCTCAGGCAGATTCAAGATGCCCCAAACAACTCCAGTGGCACTGAGAAAAACAGAGTATAAAGGACAAGACACAAAGTAGCACAAACGCCTTGAATGTTCTATTTAAAGTGACTTTATTAAAACATTGTTAATATAAAATGTGACCAAGTACAATTTTTTTGTAAGAATGTTTAATAAAAACATATTAAAGAAAAGAAGGAGCATCAACTCTTGTCAAAGCACAGGAAAAACCTACCAGGATAAGTAAAAAGTTCTGCAGCATGTTCTACCAGCTGGTCCCAATGTGTATTAGGGTCAAGTTAGCCGATGGAAGAGATAGGCAGCCCAGGTTCTTCCCTAAGAAGCTTTAAGGTATTTAGCAGAGGTTTAAAATTACACTCCTCAACAGCAGGAGACTTGGCTTTCAGATCTCCCCATATCAAAGTAACATTTGAATGCGCATCTTCACGTTGGATTTATAACTTTTCAGCAGCTGAATGTACAGAAAATTAGATTCACTGGTAACCATAAACCCCAGGGTTAACATTTGTCAGCTTTGAAAAGAAGGTGCAAGTCAATACTAACTATACACCTAAAGAATTTGTGCTAAAGTTGTTCTAAGCTATATTAATGCTGGATGCTTGTAGCAAATGCTAAAAAGGGTCAGCTAAGAAAAAACCAGCAGTAAAGTCCATGCTGGTAGAAACAACAAGTGTTTTCCAAACTGCTGAATGCAGAGATAATATCCACGAATTACAGGAGTTTGTACCTCTCAAGAAGCATGTAAAGAAGCTTTCAGAAGTCTATAAATAAGGCTACACAATGCCTTATACTCTGTGGCAATCTTCCCCTTTAGCTAACAAACCTTATAAGAAAACACTAGAAAAACTGGAGGTTTTGGGCTTGGTGGCTCTATTTTTGGGGGTGGGGTGGGGGGTGTGGGGGGGTGTAGCTTAAAGCATTTTCCTTGATCAGCAAGTAAGTTTTAATGCTCCATCAGCATCCTCTGCTTGTTCAGAGCAAGCAGCACACCAATTAGAGGCAAGGATTCTTCCAGGACATCTCAAACTATTCCTGTAACAGGCAGAAGAAAATCCTGAAGCATCCAATTCTGCACATTTAACTGCCCCTGGCACTGAACCAAATGTCAAGTGCTAATCCATGAGAAGCCTAGCACAATTATGGTCTAGGAGATGGTGACCTTCTTATAGCCTTGGCTGGGACCCATTAGACCCATTAGAGCCCTGCGTTTTGCCTTCTACCCCAAACAAATGCTATGGGACTATTGCTGAGGTAAAGGGAAAGGTCAAACCTTTGGCATTGGAGCAGACCAGTCACTGGCTGTGCGTAGGGAGAATTAAGGCTTCAAGGTGAGGTAAACACAGTGAGAGTCAGTGTGTAAATCATGCTGCATTTCAGAGACGACAGATTCAAATGACAGCTAGTCTTGTTCTCTACATTTTAAACACCAAACAAAGGTAATTCGAAAGCAGAACTGGAGGCAAGTCTGCTGAGGGCCACCTTGAGATGCCTCTCTGCACCTCGGGAACAACTGTAACCCAGATGTTGAATGCTGAAGAGAATGTACCCACAAGGAGGAAAAAGCACCAAAGTTGATGAGTCCTTGAGACGATAAGCTGCTTAAAAAACAAAGAAGCCTTATACTGCTATGACCTCCCATAAACATAGCGGTTTCCTGACACAAAGGTAATCTACACTCCAGCAATTCCCAGTGCTGTACTTCCAGCACTACTACTATGAAGAGTTATGCTCTAGTAAGGAGGCAGTGAAATAAATCATCAGGCTTGTGTTCCCTGAAGACAGTTTCTCCCGTTTATTAGGTGGTGTCCCATTCCCCTCCACCCACCCCCAAGTCTTTAATCCAAAGATCAGAAACACCTGTCATTTCCCCGGGTCATTTTTCTAACACTCTTATGTTATTTTAGCAGATTTGTAGGGTACACACACAGTGCTTCTTTGGATCCATCATTCTGGCAATGCCTTTGCCCTCTTCAAAAGAAAAGTGTTTTCAAATAAGTGGTAAAAAAGTTGCTTTCAAACTAAATGAAATATAGAAATCAATGCAGTTCTTCTGTATGCTTATTTTTCATACTGTTTTTGCTAGTTATCTGAAGTATGGAATTATTTGCTCATTTGGAACCATTGTGCAGTGCTATTTCTTACAAGCCATGCTAGCAAGGTTTTGACTGAAAACAGCAATCTGGTCCTGTAGGTTCCATTTCCAGGATATGGAGACTCTGATTTCTTTTTCTTTAACATGTGTATGGTAACTTCTCCCATCCTCTCAATACAGTAGCTACTAAAAATTTTAACAGATATTAAAAAAATATCCAAATGAAACCACACTTCTATCACTGTTTAAAAACCAAAAACGCATATGGTATTACAAAAGTTTATACAAAGGCAACATTTAAGAGTTTGAAAGTTACTTCTAGAAAAAGACACAAATGCTAGTAAATTAACATACAAGGAGAAAGATATTCCACTCCTTCCCCAAAATTGGTTTGATCTATTTTGAAGTATCTTTTACCAGTTGTCTAGAAAATCAAAGCCAGTCTTCAAGATAACATTGCTTGTACTAGTCTGCAAGGAAAAAAAAAAAAAGTAGTAAGATGTGGTTGCTAATTATGGTATTACAAACTCAGTACTTGACTGCCTGCCTACAAAAGAAAGTTTAAAATGCTGTCTGCCAATATTTCAAGTTCTTCACCTTGCTCTATGATACCCAAGAACCTACACCAGAAAATGCTAGAATGGGAAAATACTCACAACGACCAAAAAGGCAACTCCAGATAAAAAAAAATGAAATTCTTGTAGTGATCTGCAGGCAACATGGGGTTTTTTTTCACCATGGAAAAATTCATGAAGATCAATTTTTAGACTAGAGTGGGTACTGCAGAGAATGAAACAAACAGAATGTAAGCATCACTAATTCAATGGATTCCCTATTGCAATGACAGCCAGTTTTTTCCAGAAAACTATACAGTTTAAACTTTGTTGACAAGTTATTTACTGGGCTATCAAGAACATGCTCACTCCTGCAGTGTTGCACTTTTAGCCATGACATTTATGGTGATTTTAGTGTTTGGGAAGACTATTCAAGGGACACAGCTGAGTTTCTGGATTCTCTTTCTAGAGCATGGCTCTCTTCCTCACATAGGGAAGATAATCCAGAAAAGAGGAAACAAAGAAAATTCTGTCATACTATCTTCTCTGCTACTCTGTTCACAATTTGACATGGGAGGATTGTTTCTCCACAGAGAAAAATCAGGCCTTTCAAACTATTTCAGTTCACTAGAAAACATTCACAAAGGAATTAAAACTGTAATAAAACATTTGTAGGAAAACATGATAAAGCCTTTAATTAAATATAAAGGACTACCATGGTCACAATTAGTAGCAAAACAGCTCAAAAAGCATTATGTCTTAGCTTCAGAAAAAAAATAACTAAACATAGGGCTCCAAATACTGAAGTGGCTTAAGTAGTGTTCTGTCCTAAGTGCTGCCACTTCCTTCTTTTGCAAGTATTTACCTCATCCTGCATTTTTCTGACCTTACATCATCTTGTTTGGAATTTAAACCATCACTGTTGGGAAAATATGGTAGAGAAAAAGCTATGTGACATGCTTAAGGTGTACAGTAATATGTTAGGCTTATGCCAGAGTGATGCTACAGATTCCAAACAGAACTGCACAGCTCTGTTTGAAGAATCACTCTTCTACTTCACAGTTTTCAGGCTTCAGACCTCTTCCTTTTCTTTCCCTCACCATGTCATGTCCTGTTGTTCCCTTTCTTTTCTCACAGATCAGCATCAGCTTTCTAAATAGCTTCAATTGGCTATTGAGTTTCTTAAGGTTACTTTTTGTTGTTGGGTTGTTTGGGGGTTTTTTATTAAAAAAAACCCCAAACAACATTGAGAAGGCTAATTCTGGAAGCTCATTCCATTTCCATTTTGGACTTCAAGAGAAAACGCATTTGAAAGCAGCCCAGCTGCCTGGGACGAAGCACTGGGAAGTGGTCCTTCGGCTACAGCTTAAAACAGCTGAGAAACTAGTTCGCCATTCGCTGCTATGCTGTGTGTACCAATAAAAGTATCCTAGACTCTAGTTTATCTACTTTCCAAGTTAAAAAACTTTTTTCCATTGAGTGTTTTGCTGTTTCAAGAAAAAAAAAACCAACCAAAACAACTCTTTTACTTGCTATAGCAAGCTCATTACCCCAAACTGTTAGGTGGCTTGCTGTCAGTTAGCCACTGGATACCATGTCAGTGTTTCTGGTATTATATTTAAATGATGCCTTTATCCTATGCACTTTACTACATTAAAAAATACTTGACTGAAACAAACAATTTCAGTTAACATGTTGGTTAGATAGACTACTTTAAATTTGCAGGATAAAATTTGCAGCAAGCTTAGCTATGGCTTAAGGCTTTGTGGAGTCCCTCATCTTCCAGAGCAGCCTTGTCAGATTTTAATGTGCTATACAGTTTTTAAATCTAAGAACAGCGGATACAGCAGTCCTTACCTGTCCAGGCATTTGTGGATCTGTAAGTATAGTACCATCAGTATCTTCCTTGTTTGTCCTAGAAGATGCCAGGTCCTGTGGTGGGTCAGGAAGAAAGAAGTCATCTAGAGAACTAACAGGGAGTTGAGTGGGTCGAGGTTTCTCCCATTCAAGAGATACAGAAGGTAGGCTGGGGGCGACAGACTTCTCTGATTTAGTTACACTGGGCTTCTCAGCTTTTGCCACCTCCTTTGGAGTAGACTCTTGTCTGTAAAAAGAGGGAAGGGCTTTCTCTCCTTTCTCCATGGACTTGATCTGGCTGGGGGTCAGAGACTGGAACTCAGACTTGTCTCCTTCAAACTTTGAACGCTCTGCATTTATCTTCCAGAAGGAGGACTCTTCTTCCTTTCTGGATGCTATCAACCCCTCAGAGCCAGGGGTCTTACTGGCCTGAGAAGATTTAGGGACTTGGACACCAGGTGCTGCTTTAACAGGCTGCCTCTGTTCATTTTGCAACTGGGCACCACCTTGCTCTTGTATGGACAGAGATGCAACGCTGAACTCCATTTGACTCTGTTCAGGGTTAAAGAAAAACAGTATTTCAAAGCGCTTCACAAAGACACAGTTTTGAACGTCTTCCTGATGCATATAGATAACACCTTTGCCCACAGCTAGGCAACTCCCAGACAGTAGACACCACAGCAAAGCTAACTTATTTTCTCCATAAATGTCTATCTTTGTAGCCACGTAAAAATAATAATTTTTAAAAGTCTGAACTCTAAGCAAACGTAAGAGTCCTAGACCTGCTGCAGAGGAGTCAGAGAAAGCAATCATATTCAAGTTACTCAGTGCCATCCAAGATAGCAGTGCACAGTATGCACAGTGCTAAAATATTAGCATAGTGGCACTAAAACATTAGACCAGTTGTGGATGCATTTTGAAACCCATAGATGTTTTACATGAAAATATAAAGCAAAAAAGCTTTACAGCACAGTTTAAAAGGTAATCTTCCATTATAGTCTTTGAAATAGTTGGCAACATGTTACAACTCCATCTATTTCGAAGACAAAGGATTAGATGTAATGGGTATATGTTGACAAGTGTTTTTTACAATTCTAATGCCCCTCTGAAGGAAGAGAAACAACTCCAGCAGGACCAGTTCTTCACTTATTCCAGAGACTTGTTTTGTTTTTACTTGCAGTGCAGATAGCCATACTCATTTCTGAGAGGTAACACTGGGTCAAGGAAGCAAGTGACCACAGTTAAAGCATGATACAGATCTTGCAAAAGCCACCCAAAAGTGAAGAGTACTTCAAATTGTTCATTTTACTTACCACCACTTCAGTAATCTTGATTGTCAACTAGCTGGACACTAAAGTTAAGCCTTATTTCACTGAGGAACATGCAAGCTTTACTGTATTTAGGAGCACAGCACCATAGCATGTACTGGAAAAGAACAACCTAATCTCTAGACTTCCGCTTGTAAAATGGAACAAACAGTGAAAAAAAATATTTAAAATTGCATTTACTGTTAGAGTGACACTGTTGTCATTATGGGCCTAATTAGTTTTGAAAAAATTCAGAGGACATTTCAAATACTAGCTTTTGCTACAAACAGTTAATAGATACTTTTGAAGTTCATTACAGATTTGTGATGTTTTCCCCATTCTACTTCACTACCTGGCCTTTCCTGAATAAAACTGCAATAGCATCTATGGGCCTGAGTCTAAAACAAGTCCTAGTTGCATATCATTTTCACTACAAGTGTTTGATCTTGAGTCCTCATTATTGTGCATGTTAAGTTCAAAGGGACTCTAGATCTAGCAGGTCTCACACGCCTAGTAGTTAATATTCAGAAACTTCTCATCAAAGTACAAATGTTAACTCAGCAACTGATTATTTATAAAACAATTTTTTTTAAACAGTCAGCAGCTGACTACACATAATTTGATTCATGGACTAACATCTGACCTTTCTAAAGAATTAGATACAGTAGATATTTTTCCAAGGTTATAGGCAAGGAAGCACCAAGTTCCGTGCTTTCATTAAGAATATACTGTGTTACCAAAAGATGCAAAACATAAACAAGTTGTGATTATAGCTCAGCCAGAATAAGGTGAGTGCAAGGATACATGCAACTTACCAAACAGCTTGACACCCCACCCTGCCTGCAAAAAACTAAGAGGAAAAACCTTAGTGCTCCATTTTTTTATTTTTTAAAACAAAAGTCATGATGTAAAGTTAAAAGCAGGAGATTTTTCCTTAGATAAATTCTGCATAAACAAACTATGGATGCAAATTATGCATCCATAGTTTGTTTATGCATGGAGCACCTCCCCTATGAGGACAGAGTTGGGGTTGTTCAGCCTGGAGAAGAAAAGGCTCCGAGGAGATCTTACAGCAGCCCGCCAGTACTTAAGAGGGGCTTACAAGAAAGATGGGGAGGGACTCTTTATCAGGGAGTGTAGTGATAGGATGAAGGGTAACAGTTTTAAACTGAAAGAGGGCAGATTTAAATTAGATTATTAGGGAGATACTCTTTACTGTGAGGGTGGTGAGGCACTGGAACAGGTTGCCCAGAGAGGTTGTAGATGCCCCATCTGTGGCAGTGTTCAAAGCCAGGTTGGATGGGGCTTTGAGCAACCTGGTCTAGTGGAAGGTGTCCCTGCCCATGGCAGGGGGGTTGGAACTGGATGGTTGGAACTGGTTGGAACTGTGGTCAAGTTTTATGTTCTTTCATATGGGTCTAAATATCAACTCAGAGGTCTGGTTTGGAAGCAGCAGACCCCTTCAAGTATAGAGAAGGGCGTGGCACTGCAGCACAACTCCAGGCAGTTGTACCCTTTCCAACCCACTCATGGATGCATGTTCTGGAGAGGATGCCCTCTTTGTCCTTTTAAAGCAGAGACCATGGGGTGTACCTTCCCCTTTCAGAAGACAGGACCACCCAATATTTAAGATTGCATATTTGTGTCACGGTATGCTTCGGAGATCAAACAGTTCATAAGCTGACACGGAATAATCTGAACAAAAATACTTCTTCAGAAGTTTACTTTCTCCCCCAAGGAAAGCAAAGATGACAAGACTAACCTGACAGGTTTTGAAAGCACTGCGTCGCAGCATGATGTAAATACAGCCCCGAGAGGTCAGATGTATAATTCTGCTTCTAGCATTTAACTTGAGAAGCCAAGAACTTCTGTACACCACTCACAAGTTATTCTATTTTCCTTGAAATATATAATGCTTCTATTTGACTTTCAAGGCTACTTAAGACATCTGAACCCCTAAGAAATGTAGCTGATGAAAGAAAATTATTAATATGCAATATTTTAAGTCACAAAATTGGCAATAAAATACTATAAACACCCTCCCCCCCAAAAAAACCCACCAGAACAGAGCAGCAGTATAAGTAGGGAGATAATTTCACATAGAGATGGAGAAGACCCATGCGTGAAAGACGCCATGCTGACATCTAAGTCATGAGCAGTACTGTATGTTCTAATGAGTCACCAGACACTAGAAGTGTGAGTTTAATTAGTGTTCTGCTCTCCATTTTTTACATCAGATTACAAACTGGCAATTGATTGGGTCAGCAGGAGAGGGAAGGAAATGACATTTATAAGACAGTTACCCCCCAAAACATTTCCTTTTCCTTTAGGTTTGCCAGCCATGAGAATATCTTGATGCACATCTCTCCTGGCCCCAGTCAAATTTAGAGTAGCAGCTATTCCGTAAAGGGCCATACCGTGTGTTCGCTTTCCTCGGGCTGAAGCAGAGCTGCTGTGATCTGCAGTTGCACACTTCACAATTTAGCAGCAGAACTGCACTTGTGGCACTCTACCAGCTGCCACTTTGGGGAAGCAAACACTGAACGCTGCGTAAGATTTCATGCTCAAAAGTGAATTGTCATTTAGGCACAGTTTTGGATTCTAGAGATAGGGTTTCAGTCCCCAGCTGCTTTCACAGATTTTGTATGACTTTGAATGAGCTGCAGTTTCTGTTCTTTAATTCCCCATCTATGGAATAAAATAAAAATACTTTATTTTTCCTACCATTTGTCCAAATTGTATTTCTGGGAACTGTTCAGCCCAGAAAGTCTCGAGAGTTTGCAGACAGGCTACTACAGTCCCAACTGCAATCTCTAGAAGTTATCAGAATTCAAATAAAAGCTATTAACAGCAGTAGTATTTTAAAGATACTGCAAGAGCAAGTCATTCTCAACACATTGATAGAGAGACAGGGAGAGAGAGTTCATGTGAAAGCATGCACAAGTAGCTATTTTGAGGCAGAGCAAACCTAGAAGTCTGTGTTCTTTTCAGTCTTATCCCTCTGGTCCCAAACCCCTGCAAGGGTTAAAATAAAGGATGCCTAGGTCTTGGATCATCTTTCTGTCTAATAAATATAAGTAATATTAAAAATTGCAGTTTTTAGGAAGCTGCATGTCCATCTTTCCTTAAGAAGACCATATTAAGGTATTCAGGAATTTTATTTATTGGATTAAAAAATTTAGACCTAACTTCAGTCTCAAGGCAGGGATAATCCACCAAATCATCATACTGGCTGTATATACTCATGGGAAACAATGTATTCTAAAAGAGAGGCACCACACACTAAGAATGTAATGATTTAATAATACTGTGTAAAATCGGGTCTCAGTTCGTAAGTCTATATTAAAAACAAGATGACCACAAAGAACCCAGGACCTTTTTTTTTAAGCATCTTATTCACTCATCAGGAATGTGTAGTATTTTACTAAACAGCCAAGCAAACACAGCCAAAACAAATTGTTTTGCTTGGCAGCCTGAAAAATCCAAATTGTTGAGACAAAGACTGCAGAAACACTGTCAAAAGCAACTTGTTTTAAACACAGCCTGATATATGCAGAGGTAAGAAAGCCAAGTTTAAAATGATTTAGAAGATGATTTTGCTTTGCTGCATGGACAAACCCAAAATAAATATGGGACCCAAAGCAGTTGCAGTTTTTGCTTCGTTTCCTGTGCACACCATGGGTGTTTTCAGGATCTTTTCAGAGTCAGGAAGAAATCCCTAGTCAGCAGAGACCAATTGCAAGGGCAAAAATAGAGCAAAGCACTCAAAAACAATCTAAGTAATCTTAGTCCATATAGAAAGACAACACCAAAGATACACAGTGTGGAGCTTTGGAGGAAATTTCATGATCTACTCTTTGGTGATAAGAACAGCATTTTAGTTTGCCACTGTTACTGGTTAGCCTGAGCAAACTCATACTGACAGTATCTGGTATGTGCACGGTTTTATGCTCAAAACCAACTATCTAAAGATTGATGTAGGTAATTGAATCCTTAGCCGAGAACATCTGGCCATGCAGATTAAAATAAACCTTGAACACAGCTTGATATTTGGACCCATATGAAAGAACATAAAACATGACCACAAGTTGTTGTTTGTTTTTTTTTTTTTCCCTCAAGAACTAATAGTCAACAGTAGTCTTGCAGCACTGTGTTTTAAACATCTGTAGTCTAGATCAAAAAAGGAAGTGAAAACCCAAAACCTCAGGCATCACTCTTCTCTCCTTCCAAGGAAGCATTGCCATTTATGCCAGCTTGATAAAAATAATCACATTGAAGTATAGTTTGTAACAAACAACTCTAATATAAGGCTGCTAAAGAAGGAGGGAAAAAAAATTATTTTCTGCCACTTTCTTCCCATTTAAAAAAAAAGCAACACAAAACCAACTAGGACTTGTACAAAGAAGGATATTGAAGACTGTCTTCTAGTTTTAGATAAAGGAAACAGTTTGCAAACCACTTTTTTTAAGTGCAACAAATTTTTCTTTCAAAATCATCGCTGGGATTAGATCACTTCTGTAGCAATATAATTACAGAATTCAGACAGAAAGGCAGCAACCAGATTATGGAAAGGATTGGAGACTGACACTTTCTCTTTTTGCTTTTTTTTTGTTTGTTTATTTTTAAACACACTTTGAAGGCTTCTCTTTTCAACAATGTCTGAGGGCCTGTTGAAAGTAGAAGCAAGCTGAATGAGGAAAAAGCCAGGAGTTAAAAAGAAATAAGTACAAAAAGGACTCTCTAAAGCTGCCTTTGCAACTATTCTACCTGTATCAAGACCAACAAATTTTTATATGTGCATGTGTCAACTCTAAGCCTTTGGAATAAAACCTATTTTAGTTAATAGTATGAATTAGAAATAGATCCCAACTTATTCCCATGCTGCTCTGTGCACTCAATGTATTACCTGAGGTGGCAGACTGAAATTACATTTTCTGCCCACTACTAAATTAATTTTCTTTTAAAAAAACACACCAAACCCAGAAAGTTCTGAGTTCAGGAAGAGTTGCAGAGAAATTTTGTTTCCAAACCCAGGCATGATTCTTGTTTTCCATTTATATCTTGGGGTCCATGCTGAGTTTCACTGAATTTCTACTTCAAACAAACCAAGAAACCTCAAAGGCTAAACTCAGCCAAAACATCAGCTTTCATCTCACTTAAACCTGAAGCCATAAATAGAATGCCCTAAATTCATAAACCTGGCTTTAGACCCAGTTAAAAATGTAACCCACATTTCAAGACGTGTTATGTTCATGAGGGGCTCCACCCATGAACTAAATCACTCCCTCCAATTCAATCTCTAGTTTTAAAATGTCAGTTTATTCGCAGTGCCATGAGAACTCATTGCTTCCTGAGTAGTCTTCCTTCTGAGAAGTGCTACAGCTTTCTACTAAAAAATTAGTATTTTAAATGCTGTCTAACAGCTAACTCAGCAATTTACATTGCATTTCTGCTTTGTTAGCCTTGTTTGAGGGTTTAAAAATAAAGAGGTAAGACAAACAGCTAAAAATGGTGGAGATATTCATGCAAGTGTTTGCTGTGATATAAACTACTTGAGCCATATCTCACATTTGTGTTTAAAATAAGAATGCAGAAAGTTTACTTTTGACAGAAATGAAGTTATCAAGCCCTTCAACAATGTTCTGCCCAAAATGACAGCAATTTAGTACACCATTCTCTGGGTAAGTTTGACAGCCATGGAATTAGGGAATCCATTCCACTAGCTACCATGAGAAAAATTTGTCCATACCTAATCAACTGGAATCACCACTGGCATCACTTTAACAGCTGAGAGAGGTTCCAACTTGCAGAAGACATGCCCTCCCCTCTTCTCACTACCCTCTCAGTTTTCCTGAGGTTAGTTACAGACAAATACTAATTTTGCTGCTTTACTTTTCTTAGCCTCAAAGTCAAAAAAAAAGGAAAAAAAAAAAGAAAAAAAAGACCCTATTGGTTTTACTGATGTACATGTCTGTTTTCTCCTTCTCTGCAAAAGCAGAAAGTGAACACCACATTCCCTTCCTTGGATAAGCCAGAGCACATTCATGCAAAGCTGCAAAAGAATGAAGGAATTTCATCATCATGGCAATAACATGCAAAAAACCCCAAACCAAACCCTCTGCATTAAAGAGACATCAGGGAAAAGAATATTATGGAAAAAATAAACCATCGTGGGGTAGAGCTCATGGAATGGAAAGAGCCTGACAGCCTGAAATAACAGTGGGAACAGATCTGGCTCACAAGACACCGAACGTGCATTACAACATGTCAACCTTATTAAACAGCTCATTCCGGTTTCTTCACTGTTTCCCCATGCTGGACCAATTGGGCAAGGATGCTTGTTCCTCAGCCAGTACCTCACGGAGAAATTGCCTTCCAATATTATCTTATTAAAGTACTGGTTAGGGAAGAGATCAAAGAGTAGGCACAAAGCAAAATCTCCACCTTTAGAAATCAAAGACTCAGCAGTTGAAGGATTTAGCTGAAAGACTGACACAATATGAGGCACCAAAGAAAAAAACAAAAGGAAGAACCCACACAGACCAACCAACCCACACCCTGTAAAGCCAGACAAAATGGATTCTCTAGAGGTTTGCTAAAGGAAAAGGTCATGCAACTTTTCAACCTACAGCTGAGGCACAGCTTTTCTCTCTGGTCAACAAGGAGGGAGTGGGAGAAAGAGGGAAGCACAGCTTGATTAGCTGAGACAATTATTTCTAAAGCAACCTCCTCCCCACCTCACTTTTCTTCAGCAGTTACAAGAGTGTTCCCATATCATTCTGTTAGCCTCCATTCGTTACAGAAAAGCATTAAACTAGAGCATCTATCCATTGCAGTCCCTTATTTTGAGACACCAGGAGGATCAAAAAAATAATCTTAATCAGCAAGGGATAAACCACAGGCTGGGTTGAAAAAACACTTCACTAGACATACAAGCATTTAAAAGAAAAGACAACTATCAGTTAAAGAGAAAATCCATTTGAGTGCAGATGCATCTCATCATGGATCACTAGTCGGTGCATTACACAAACCACCATCTCCAGGAAGTTCAAGTATTTAAAACTTACAAAATCCTATCAAGACAGAGCTTAGAAATACAGTTAGAGCTGCCACGTTCCCCAAACTGAGTTTTAGGGTTTGCACCAGAAAGTAGGGGAGAGACAACACCACTGTCTCCAACATATGATTTATTTCACCTTATTGTTAACGAGGTCCACACTCTTCTCACTATTTTTCTTTTTGACAGCTTCACCCAAGTAAACCCATACTAAAAGCCTCTTTAATATTGTACTAAAAGCCAGTGGCTGCTTCTTCTAAGGGCCCTGAAAGACAGGAGGGATTGCCTGAGCTACCAGGCTTCCACTGCAGGAAATCCTCCACTGGCTCCTGAACCACCACAGCTTACAATGGAGTTCTAAGGCCAGTGAAGACTGGCAATGGTTTCTCTTAAACTGCAGCACTGTATGCTGCAGGGACCCAGGAGTCACATCAAGTTGTAGGTTAATCAGCATCTGCAAAGCACAGATGGGGTGCTAGCTACAGGCAGTGACCTTGAGCAGAGAAGGCTGACAACAAGCCTAGGGTCAACTGGATTAATTTTGTGTTCACTGGCATTTCCAAATAATTACTCTGCATTAGGCTAAGATTATATTCATAAGCTCATACATGATTATCTACACAGTTCAAGGGCAAAAATTGGAGGAAACAGGGAAGAAGCAGCTTTCTCTGGCAGATAAAGCCAGAAAACACAGTCTGAAATGCATGATTAAACTAACATGCCCACCATACCCAGTTGAAAAAGGCAAGAAGCTGTGTTTTTGCTCCCAGACTTTCTTCAACAAGAACCACCAAACTTGATTTCCCATCACAAATATGGTGCAACTATATTTCCACTCAGAAAGAGGGAGAACTCTGGCTCTGTGTTAGCCTTATGAGAATCCCATCATAAATTATGCTTTAACAAAATACCAGAGATAAAGCAAGGAGAAAACAAAACAAAACAAAAAAAACAACCAAAAAACCCCCAACCCACCACAGAAAACGACATTATTTTTTGAAGGAGCTGCCTTTTGGAGAGGAAATAACACAATGCTTCTAGCATAGCTCCAGGTTAATAAGTTTCATTACATTCTAGTACACAACAAAAAGATGAAGGGTAAGACAGGCTTTAAGAAAGAATCCAATGAAGTTACTACATTTCTCACCCCATTTCCTAGCCACTTTACTCCTGACTTGAAAAGTGAAATGCAGTTATGTTTGTACAATATCTGAGACACTGGTCTTGCTAAACATGGAAATTTGTTTAAAAAGTTTACAATGAAAAATCAAATAATTGATAATGAATCAGTTTTATGCCTGCACTTGATGGCAGAACATTCATGAAGTACATGTTGTATTTCTGTTGATGTAAATCGAAGCACACCAGTCCCGCTTCATTTGCAGGATGGTCACTTTACACAGCTCTCACAGAATAAAGGTGACATTAGTCTATCAAGTCGCAAAATGAAGACAATATAAATGCACAAGGAACAGTATAAAATGACAAACCAACATTAAAAATAAAATTGCTGCACATTTACCTTCGTTTCCCAGGAGAACGGAGCCGAGTGTTCATCTTGCCAAGTTATGTCCTGAAATAAAATTCAAGAATGACTAAAAATCAGATGAGCAGCTTTACCTACTCAGGAGCATCATACAGACGACATTACATTGCACTCCTAGGAGCATGACAACCACTACCACAGAACTTGCTAAAAAGCGAGAGCACTACTTGGAGATGGGGCAAGATTATCAACTAGTATACCAATTTAACCTACAAAATAAATGAAGCTTTAATGTGGTCTAAACCTCTTGATATGGTTTCTCTACAAATAGATTTAAAAGATAGCTTTTTTTTTTTTTTTTAAATAATATATTTCCCGTTTTCTACTAGGCATTTTCTTTGGTAGCCACTAGCAACACACAGGGACAGAAATAACAAGAGGAGCAGGGGCCTTAGGGAAATAAAGTCCCATTTCCTCCCCTCCACAGACCAAAGAGCACATGCGCAACCAGGCAGTCACATGGCAGTGAAACAGCTGTGCATCCATCAGGCCAAGCCACAGCTGGATCCAGCCCTGACAAGACACATCATTATGCCACTTCAATGACGATCAGTCTGAAATAAGTATTCGGTGCTGTTGAAAGAACCACAGAAAGTCTGGAGTAAAATCCCAATCTGAAATAGCTTCTTTTAAGAAGCTATTTTTCTGAAAATAATCCCGATTTGGGAAGTTTAGATAACATCTTCATACACAGCATGCCCTCCAGAAATACACGTGACCCACATCGAAAAAAGAAGGGGTGGAAAATAAAGAAATAAATAATCGGTGCTCACATTTGTTCCACACTTGCAACAAAATTATCACACTTCTATTCCTAGTCGTGGATGAGTCTCATTTGTACATTGGATGTTCACGCTGGTAGAGGTAATGAGTTGCACCCTCCATACTGAGTATACCACTGCTTGGCTACCCCAGTACATCAGGGGAGGAACAGGAGTCGGAACGGCGGATGGAAGGAGAAAGGCCAGGGAAGGAGAGGACAGGACAAGGCTTGTTTCACACTCCTGCTGTTCAAAGGGTAACAGAACTAGACCATGCTTTAAGCTAACATAGGAACCCTGCATCTTACCATGACTGCCCTTTTCTGCTTATTTCTGACCTCTGCCTTTATAGTAATAAGTTTCTCAGGCATCTGATAGCTTTCTCCTGATCCGCTATCTCTTATTTCTCCCTAGGCAGATTTTGCTGGCCAAGGGCTATGAAATCTCAATTAGAAGTGTCTGAAACCATCTCCTAAACATGAAAATGTGTCATTCTCCAACTATGACTCACCTCTGAAACAGAGGGTTTCTAGCAGCGAAGTATTTGTGGTGTATATATGAGGGTAATCCCATGCTCTTAAAAAGAACTGGGCTGATAGAGACCATCTGAAAGAAAAGGCCTGGGCTCTGCTGGACCACACATTCTGGCCAAAAAGGAAACTTGGTACAGGAAATTTTTGCCGAGAACACAAGTGTAATACTGGGTTCTCTCATTCCAGGAAATGGATATTCATATTTATTAATGTTTAAGGGAAACAAAGGGAGCACAAGTCTGCTTTTTAGTATCTGTTCTATCAGTATTTGCACTGCGGAGTGCTGCTGACCCCATGGGAGTGCCACACCACTTATGTGGGATGCCTTGCAGCAGACGAGTGTCAAATTGTTTCAAAATCATTTTAAGACCGTATCCTTTGCCTCTGAAACTGGTGGAGTTGGCACTTCATTTCTGAAGCACGCATGACAGGAATCACGGTCCAGGAGGGAAGAGAGACGGAAGAGCCCCAGCCACGGGATTGAGTCTCACACACAAGGTAGGACCGTAACCCTTCTGTTCACATGGGGTCTGGACAAATCAGTACTCGACTTCAACCACAGCAGTAAAGGACAGAAATGAAGGCCAGCGAACAGTGTAACACTCCTACACGCTGTCACAGCACCTCGAAGCTCCAGACACGTAGCCATAGCTGTCAGTGGGTTTTACCTAAGGAGTTTAAAGTAAACTGACTTCTTGCCATTTACAGGACATGCAAACCAGCCGTGGACCAGTTTTAATTTTGGGAGCAAGCCAAGACCATCCTCATCCTGAATCTGAGACAGCCAGTTCTTTATTTTCCTGTTATTTGAGGCAAGCGTAGACAGCACTGGGAGGGACACCTCTTCACCCAACGCTCGCTGCACATCCTCAACTCAGCGACGACACCACAGCTGCAAGCAAGCCCTGCTGACAAAAGGCAGGGATAGAAAAGCAGCACAGGGAAGGCAGAGGGAAGGTATGAGGTTGTCGTGGACCAGGATACATCATTCCCTATACGACAGAGCAAGTCAGCTTCCCACTTCATAGAGTCCAGTATCTTCTCCACTGCCATTGCACTTGTTGGCACCTCAACTTGTAGGCTCAACCTCCAGCTTAGGCAGACAAAAATCTCCTGAAATGAATTAATGGTATTTTGGTACTGGTTGTTAAAAAAGTTCTTGTGAGAGAAAAAATCTAAGCCTTTCATAGATTATTTCAAAAGATGGAAGTAGTAGACACTTGTTAGGCTGGAACAGTTCCCTGAAACAAAACAACCATCGATTTTTCTTTTTAAAAGGATGGCTCATTGTATCTCAGGCTGCACAGCCCAGCACGCCTCAGAGCCACTAAGTCTGAGGAGCTTTGCCCACATTCAAGAGATCATCCATAGGATCTAGCAAAGGATAAAATAGGATAAGACATGGTTTGAGGATACAAAGCTTCAAGGAGTCAGTGTCTGTAGTTATTTGGAGTGTACTTGAAGCTAGGGTGAAGGAGACAGTTGTCAGGTTCTGTCCATTGTCAGGGAAGGGAAGGAAGTTTCTGGCCTCCACCTCCTGTGCCCTCACACAGAGGACATGCAGAAGAAAAAGTGAGAAGCAGGAGAACAACACGGTTCAACAGTTTCCTGTCTGATGTGCCTGATTCATGTTTATCACCAACAAAATCTGGGAAGTAAGTTTGCTTTCTGTAGGATTAACAAGTTCTCACACACCTTAAGAAAATGGGAGCAAAAGCATCAACTATTTCAATATTCACAAAAGTAAATTATGATTGGAAATTCTAGAGAAAAAGGCTTCAAGGCTATCTATCATCAACACAGATTAGAAGCGATCCATATCTGATCAGCTTTTGTTTTCAGCACACAACAAAGCCTTCTTCCAGAAAGAAGGCAAATAAATACACTTTTGTTCACCAGCATTAAAGAACCTATTTGTAAGAAACAGGGCCTCATGCAACATATTTCATAGCTGAAAAAAGTCAAAAGAAAGAGAGGCAAAAATCCAGTCATACACTTGACTTCAACAACCAGCTGCAGAATACATAAAAAAGAATCCCAAACTAAATTTGCTCTATGTAGGCAGCTTGTTGCAAAACAGCATCTGAATTTCAAAATGGAAGACACTGGTAGAAACGTGCCAGCATATCTGACATGAGCATTGCTCAGAGCAGCTGACAATAACCAGGCAGTCACAAACCCACCAACAAATGCATCTTAGAAGCATTATCGGAACAGGACTTGCTGGTTATTGGGGTTTAACTGCACTCAAAAGCTGCACTGCGTTTTTTATTTTTTAAAAAGCACAAGTCTATAACAGGCCCAACATAAAAGTTACTGCTATATTGAATATTTGTTGCTTTAAAGCATTTTTAAGTAGGAGATAAAAGGGTCAATCCTTTGGCTTGGTGTCAAAGTTCTCAAGGCTAAGCAAAACAAATACTCTATCTGCCTTCAGGTAGGTAAGTCAAGCTTCCCTATTAAAAGATGATGAATGAAGCTAACCGAACTCTCTCACCTGTCTTCCCTCCACATGAAATGTTTACCACTTCCTAAAGCACATGGCATTTTCTTCCATGAAAAGTTTAGTTATTTCAAGTTCAATTCTTTGAGCTGCTGACTACCACTCAAATACTCAATATCTCTTTAAAAAAAAGAAAAAAATCAGACCTTAAATCCATGTGTATGTCACATACTTGTACATAAAGAGGAACAGTACTAAGAGAAGAGTGAGAACTTGTTGTAAACTGAATGTCTAAACTATCTTTCACTGAACTATACAGGGAGCATCCAGTGGCAGCAACTAACATCAAACTAGAACCTTAACCATGTTGACCTCTACAGTGGTCAAAGGGTAATACCTCCCACACACTACTGTTTTTCCACCTATTCCTCTCACGATGGCTCATAATTTATGGCATATTTCTAAAATAGCCCATTTATATTACATTCGTATTCAATCCCAGATTCTATTTCCAGATTTTCCTCTGCTCAGTTAACCTTATTTTCTACCCCTACAAGCCCTAGACATAAATGGAGAAATGCCAGCAATTGGAGGCTTGTTGGGAAAGAGGAAGCTCTGCTTGAAGGTTGCAGCCTCCAAAAGCCCCCAGCCAGAAGGCCTAGGCTGTCTAGACACAGAAAATGATGGTGAAGCAAATAGTCTCCTGGTGCTGGGCCCATGTGTGATGGATAGCAAGTCAATCTTCAGCAATCAGGACAAAACTTCTTTCATGAGGTGTTAAATGACCCTATTAGCCTGGAAGAGATGAAAAATACATGCATGACCTAGAGCATGTGACTCTATAAAACAGAACAAGATAGAGAAGCAAGAGATGTTGGGTTTCTCTAAGAGGTGGTGTTAGAAAATACCAAGGCCTGCAACCCCATCAAGGTTATTGAGCTGGTGTATCCTGGGGTCCGTTTCAACTAGGAAGCCTTAACTCGAGACCAGTGAACACGTAAGGGCTGGTGTTAACATTTGCGTGCATCCTCACCATGACAGCACTGTGCACACAGGTAAATGCCAAGTCAACTGGGTGCCACCCAACCCAACTCTGTGCTTGAGAGAGAAATGCTGTCTAGCATTTCTGTACTTCCACTTCTTTCATCAAGCTTTTTGAGACTTTTAAAAATACCTTCGGTTCTTTGACAGTAAGATGGGAGATTAAAAAAGCAGCCGTGGTGTCCTGGCACCGATCCTCTTTAGGAACTGCATTCACAGTGGACGTCCAGCTTCAGTTATTAACTCCCAAGACTGGCAATGCCGCAATGAGGATAAGATCATGGAAGAGAAGGAGCAGCGGCACTCAGCTGACTCTAGCCTTTTGCTAAGAGTCACACATGGTGCTGCAGTGCTCTAGCACTACGAAATGAGTGGATCATGGCTACAGGATGCCACGGTTCTGTTACTGCACATCTATTTTCTGTCATAGCCTTCCCACACAGACAACATACTGAAAGGTGTTTTTTAAAATGTAAGAGAGGCTTATACTTTGAGAACTTACAGTCCTGGGCTACAAGTTCAGGAGATGAGTTTGGTGTTAGATAAGTGCTGTGGTTTAACCCCAGCCAGCAACTAAGCACTATGCAGCCGCTCACTTACTCACCCACCACCCACCAGTGGGATGGGGGAAGAGAACCAGAAGGAAAAAGGTAAAACTCATGGCTTGAGATAAGAACAGTTTAATAGAACAGAGAGGAAGAGAATAATAATGATAATAATAACAACAATAAATTAACAATACTAATAAAAGGATTGGAATATACAAAACAAGTGATGCACAATGCAATTGCTTACCACTCACTGACTGATACCCAGTTAGTTCCCGAGCAGCGATCCCTCCCCTAGGCCAAGTCCCCCCGGTTTATATACTGGACATGACATCCCATGGTATGGAATATCCCTTTGGCCAGTTTGGGTCAGCTGTCCTGGCTGTGTCTCCTCCCAACTCCTTGTGCCCCTCCAGCCTTCTTGCTGGCTGGGCATGAGAAGCTGAGAAATCCTTGACTTAGTCTAAACGCTACTTAGCAACAACTGAAAACATCAGTGTGTTATCAACATTCTTCTGGTACTGAACCCAAAACATAACACTATACCAGCTACTAGAAAGAAAATTAACTCTATCCCAGCCAAAACCAGGACAAAAAGATATATGGGAAATAGTGGGGGACAAGAAAGAGGGAACCAATTGTTCAGAGATACAAGACCACTACATATATCCTCTGGACCACCTTATCAAAGTGGTCACATGCATGAAAGTGGGACTGAAATGGTGAGAGTCCTGGATAGGTAAATCAGTATCTTCAGCATTCATCCTTGTATTGCTTTCTCCCAAGTCCTCCAAAGAACACGAGGTGAAAGAGATCAACTTTCCATGCTTAAGCAAGCACAGGTAGATCACTACAGATTTCAACATCAGTTAACAGGGAAGATGAGCTGTGCCTGGAAACATGAAGCTTTTGGAGCAGGTGTCAGCAAGAACATCATCAGACCCAAACACACTCACGCTGAAAGCGCTGCAACATCATCATCGAGTGATTCTGAGGTATGCACACTACTCTCCATTTCCTTGCCTCAGGATACTATCCACCATGAGACAAGGACAGCGGCCAGGACCGATCTAATTGCCCTGAGCAAGGGCTGGGTGACCACGGTACGTGCAGCAGTTACATCTTAGAAAGATGGCAGTAGTACAGCTCAGTAAGCTGTCACACCAGAAGAGGGCAAGATAATAAAGCTCTATAGGCAAAGCATTTGCAAGCCTGGAAAGTTGAACCGAAATGGCAAGAGACCAGATGCCGTGGCTCTGTAACAGCAGGACAAGGAGGAACAATTAGTGAGCCAGGGCAAATGTCCAAGAATCAGGTCGAATGCCAGCAAGGGAGCAGGGGGAGAGGAAGCTATCAGATGAGTAGCCAGGAAAGGCTCCAAGGCTCAATAGTGCAGTTAGAAGAACTAAAATGGAAGCAGAGGATGCCAAAATGAGTGGAAACTTTTTTCTTCAGAAATACAATATACATTAACTCCAGCTTGGAAGTCAAGGAGGAAGTCAGTTGAGGCAGATGCTTCCAAAATTACACATTTTGCATCACGTAGTTTGATGAACCATGCTTTCTTTGGTTAATAGCTTCACAAATGCTAACAACACCACTATTTGTATCATAGCTGCATTTTGGGGGAAAGAGGAGGGAAAAAAAAAACAACTTGCCAAATTTCAGATGGACTCTCTAGCTGTTTTGTCAAGCAGGAAATGATTACTTCCATACAGTGTAGCACAAAAACCTACAACTTGCTTGCTTTCCTTCCGGATCCACATAATTCAAAACAGAAAGCACTGCAGAGCTGTCTGAGACTAGGAAAGCTGAATATACTTACTTTCCACAGTCATTAACTTAAACCCTTTCACAACTAACTTCAGGTTTAGGTTTCCTTTCAAAGACTGCTTGCACAACCAAATTTGCTGTCTTGCATCCTTCTATACCTCTTTTTCACCAGGAGTTATGGTCTATTACTAGCAAATATTTACCTAGAATTTCTGGTATCCCGGAATTGAGCTTGACTGCATGTTCTCTAACTGTAGATATGATGTGTGCGGGACACATCATCACACCTTCCTGACAGGTAAAACACAGGCAGCAGTCTTCTAGCACAAAGCTGGTCAGGAACCACGATGCCAGGTATCTATGTGCTTCAAACGCTTCTTAGAAACCCCATTGCAAGGGATATTGGCGAAGGGACTAAAAGCAGCACTGTTCTCTTTAAATCAGATTGATGACTACAAATGCAGAAGCAGATTATTTTTTTCTGGTAGAAGCCACTAAAGTTAATCAACAATAGGTCACTTTAAGATGTTACATGAACATAGCGAAAGATAGCAGCTCTGTAATCATACCAAGATATAAAAGAAAACAAAACAAAGGAAATCTCATATGCAGAATAAGAGAGATACGGGATCTGACGAGCACCGCCAGGTCTTTGCAAGCATTGTTAGACCTTCCTCTTCAAGGGATCACACTCGGTAACATGACCCACTGCTCCGGACCGGGTACCCTTATACCTGTGGATTTCTGGAAGGGCTGCCACACTTTGCCATTAGACAGATGGCTCTCGGAAGCTTCCAAATCCATACTTTTTGCCATCTATCTTTCCACACCCGTGTTTTTCCTGGCATGTGACATGGAACAGGCTGCATTTTTTTTTTTTTTCCTAGGTGTTAAAAATACCAAGAGCTGGAATGTTTTCAGTGTCGTATTTTTAACCGTGTCTAAAATTAGAAACAAAAAGGAAGAGATTTAACTGGGTGTAAACATTCCCTACGGCCCGTTTTCAGCAAGGGGCTGTTTCCAGAGCTAGCCACGGCCATGCCCCGCTTTCGGGGGGGGGGGGGGGGGGGGGGGGGGCGCCCCCTCCTTTCTTCTTTGGCTGGGCC